CCCCCCCCCCCCCCCCCCCCCCCAAAAAAAAAAAAAAAGACTTACAGAACAAGTCCGGCGAGGTTTCTGCACACATCCATCTTCTCTCGCATTTCTAATACAGCATGCTGTTTCCCGTTCTCTACTTTTATCCGTTTCTAGTGCAGCAATCACATTCCTGTCGCGACGCATACAGGGAGAATACTTAGCGCCAAGATGAATCAGATCAGCCTGGAAGGTGACCAAAGTTGAGTGTAACTGGCATCTAAATAGTTCATCTAATATAAAAATATGAAAACACCAAAGCTTTCGGCTTTCTGCTCCTTTATCAGGGACCTGTAAAGTGGTCATGGTGAATTTGTTAAGTTATGTGTCAGATGTTAAAGCTTGTTACTGATAATGACTGATGTTCACATTTGTTTACAAAGAAGAAAAGAAAAATGAAAAAAGTTTGTCTGTGTAGCTACCTTTTTTCACTGACAACATGCTGAATAAAAAATGCACAAACTTGTCTACATTTAATACCTATAAGCTTTCCTTTTTTTCAGTGTTTGTATATAACTCATAAACAATGACAAATTCCACAATAAAAATATGGTTCTGTAATACAGATCTAATTTCATTACTCAAATATTGTAAAATAAACCCTTGTTAGAGGTTCTTCTCACTTACTTGTCTAGGTCCTATCCACATGTTGTCTTTCTCATAGTATGCAACTTTCTCTAAGGCTAAATTGGATGTCAGTACCTAAAAAAAGGCAAAGCATATTTTTCTAAGATAGGAAATCACAAAATCTGAAAACAATAAAGTGCACCATTTTTAGATAAACTTGACTATTTGTGCACCAGCTTTATATTATGTACAGCAGGTCACCTTGTTGACAATTAAGAGAAAAATAATAAGCCTCACCACATCTGATATGAGAGTGTCAGAGAATCCTACAGGTGCTATACCATACACTGACACAGACACTATGTACACTGCTATCTGCACAAATGTCACCCAGAATGTGAAGAACGGCCTGAAATTAAGGATGATACAGTTTATATATATATATA